TTTTTTTCTAAATAATAAATTTTAAAAAACAAAAAATTTAAAAAGCATAAATATAATTAAGTAGATTAAATCAAATAAGGCGCGTCATTACGCATTAAATATTAGTATTATATGCTCTTGATGCATAAAATACTGATCAATTTTTTTTAAACCTGATGTTTTTTTGGCATTAAAATAATGCTAATAACACCGGCGCACAAAAAAAAAGTGGACTGTACTTTTGACTAGATCCACTTATCTTTATGAATTTTGACGCGCTCAATCCGAATCCAAGGTCCGTTTGATCCGTACACCCTCAAATCCGAAAAAATCGAATTTTTATGCTCTCTCTAAATATAAAAAAAAATTTCATGCAGATTTTGTCCACTTCTCATGTTTCATTTTTTACTGAGTTGAGGTTAGAGATTCGTTTAGCTCCAAAATTTTCAAAATTGCGAGGAAATCGTATAAACAGAAGGAAATTGCTTTTGTGAGCATTAAAAAACTAAAAACAAGTTTTTTTAAATCTTTTCGAAATATGTTCTTCTTGTACGTCGAAAAGTTATGTGAAAAAACCAGCCAATATAAGGAGTAACAAGTGTCGAGTTTGAATATCATGGATATAAAATAAAGCAAAATAGGTCTACACATGTGAAAAATGTTTTAATTTATATTGCTCTCACACTTTCTTCCTTTTGTAGCAAACTTTTTTCTCTTCAAACGACCTATGAAGCGGGTTTCTCTTTCTCTTATTCCTCTCTTGAGTTGTTTCTCTCTTTAACGTCCAACAGAAATCAGCCATCATGTTGATATCCCACCTTCCTTGATATCGATTTTCCATTTTACTTATATCTTGATGGAATCTTTCTTCTTGCTCTTCGCTGTAATCTCCAAGGTTTTCTGGGAAATAGTCAAGGTGAGAATGTAAAAAATGTCATTTGAGACTCATCGAACAATCCAATTGTTTGAAATTGTCTAACAACTCTTCAACTATATTCTGGTAGCTCTCACTCTTCTCATTCCCTAAAAAGTTCTGAGATATGCTCTTAAAACTTTGCCATGCTGCTTTTTTTATATTATTCATCTTTGTAACAAAATTGTCATCATGAAATAGTGAACGAATTTGAGGACCATCGAGAATACCCTTCTTCAATTTTGCATCACATATCGCGGGAAACTTCTCACCTAAATATTGAAAGCAATCACCATCTTTGTTGAGAGCTTTGACGAATTGCTTCATGAGACCCAGCTTGATGTGAAGAGGTGGTAGCAAAAATTTGGAAGGTTTAATCAATGGTTCACGTACGATGTTCCTCGATCCTGGATGAAATTCAGTTTTCTTTGGCCAGTCTGTTTGAATATAATGATTTTTCCAGTCTCTGCTATCCCATAAACGTAAGATGCAGGGATTTTTTGTGAATCCGGATTGTTGACCTAGCATTAAAATTGAAACTTTGAGATCACTGCAAACTTTTCATTGATGTTTCGCGTAGTCTATTTTCTCCAATACTATCTGGAAATTCTCATAGGTCTCTTTTAGTTTTATGGAATGAGCTATTGGAATAGGAGCGTACGAATTTCCGTTGTGAAGCAGAACTGCTTTGAGACTTTGTTTTGATAAATCAATAAAAAGTCTCCACTCTTTGTCCTTGTAAATATTTGGTTTCAACTCGTCAACTAATCCCTTCACCTTCTTCTTCAGTGCTGCTGCCAGGTATTCAGCTCCATCTTTTGGTAAACCAAGATCTCGTATCAAATCATTCAATTCTTCTTGGGTGAAAGTTTGAGGAGCACTTTTTTTAGAGACTGGTGAGTGGTCGTTTTCCTCGTTATCTTCCTCACGTTCTTCTTCGAAAAACTCATCAGTTTGCATTGCTTCCTCTTCGCAAAATTGGTCAACATCCATAGTTTCTGGAGCTGTTGTTTTGTTTGAGGCTACTATTTTTTCAGATCTCACAACTGAAGAAACATTAGTGTACAAAATTTTAGTCTTCGTAGCTGTGGTAAAACCCGTGGTATTTTTCGTACAGAAATAACACTTTTCACGGCATGATGGGCAGACCATAACATTGGCTTCGTGAATCTCAAAATCTCTTTTTTTCTAGTCTTACTCCATCGTGTCAACATCGTATAACACGAACCGCAAACTGTATGTGGCATCCAGTTATCATTCTGATTAGAAATTTCCAAATCGTAGCACTCTTTGTAGAGCAACTTTAATTTATTAGAAAGAGGCCTCTGGTATTTAGAATCTTCAAACTCGCCACATACGCAGCAAAATACATCAAAACTTTTGTCACACACGTATGAGACATTTCTTGTGGCATTACACTCTACAGAGGCCAAGTCACCCACCAATGTAGAGCTGCGGTTGCATGATGACGACGACGGCAGGCCCACTTTCTCACCCTGTCCAGCCACCGATACTGGGTCTCTGAATCCCTGCATCGTAAAGTACTTACTGCTTGTACCAGTATTGAACTAAAATTTAGTTCAGCACGCACGATAGTTAAACTTCGTGAGTACGTAATGCATGAATAGGTAGGGATTAGTGGATCCGATGCCAGGCGTCGGGCTCGGATCATCGGTCTTACCGGCGAGGAGTGGTCCCTGGAACATGGGGCTTCTCTGGGGATGCTAATTAGCCTGGATCTGATACTTTGGCAGAGAGCGCTGGCTTAACCGGCGAGGAGTGGACGTCCTGGAATATTATGGAGTCCTCTCCAGGGAAAGGCTACATAGTGGCAAGTGGACCCGATGCACCGTTGGTGCAGAGAGTGTCAGCTTAACTGGCAAGTTGTTCCACAGAAGATACTTACACTGTGCACATGGATTCATGTATGATATCAGTAAAAAGGGTTTGAAATGCGTGCGGCAATTCACTCCCACACATAGGTGGTGAGTGGGTAGCCCTGGCGACTAGGCCAGTATATTTTTTAAACACATTTCTTTTCGTACATATGTATTCTACAAGTACCTAAAATGCCATTTATTTTCACGATTTAGAAGTATTTTAAACATCAATTGCAAAAAACGGCTTTTTTCTCTGCAGATAGTGGAATCAGCGGCTCGCCGCGAGGTGGGCCACTACTGGAGGCCACGCCCTTTTTTCACATGCATGTTTTGATCGAGCGCGTTTAAAACGAAAAAGTGCTTCTTTGCAATCAATTTTCCAGATACTTTTAGATGGTCAAAATGAATGGTGTTTTAAGTAGTTATAGAGTATATATAGATGAAGCGAAATATGTTTGAAAAATGAACTTATGTCGGCTAACAACTTTTTTACAGCCATTTTTCGAAAGGACCTTTTTTCTGTTTTTACTGCGGTTTGCACAAAGTTTAGAACAAATTAAGCTTAAATTTCGTGTCTATGATAAGTTCTAGGACATATGTCTTGTGTTAAAATTTTAGCTCTAAACATTGTATGGAATGAGAATTATTAAATTTCAAAAAAATCGCTCAAAATGGCAATTTTTTGCGATTTGCAAAAAAACGGCAATAGAAAGACGTTGGCATATTTTAACTCTTAAAACTAATTTATCATTGACTGTATTCTTGGAGATCATTGAATTTATACTAAATAATAATTTTTTTGTCTTTAACAATAAATATTACAGACAGATTTTTGGTTCTGCCATGGGATCGCCTTGCAGTCCTATATTGGCAGAACTAGTCATGCACGATTCAATTAATGATTTACTTTTTACAAGCCCCATTCCAATTGCATATTTTAAAATTTACGTAGATGATATTATAGCTTGTGTTCCAAAAAACAATACCAAGGATATTTTACAACTTCTAAACTCATTTGATGATCACATTAATCTTACAATAGAAGAACCCAAGAATAATTCTATTAACTTTCTAGATACAACTTTACATTGGGATAGCTCAGGTAACATTAAAACGAATTGGTTTCAAGAAAATACACACGCAAACTCATATTTGAATTATTTTTCACATTTACTTGTATCTCAAAAAATAGGTGTCGTCTTTTCCTTGGTTGACCGTGCCATTAAATTATCTGATGATTCTTTTCACAAACAAAATTTAAAAAAAGTTTCTATTATTTTACAGGCTAACAACTATCCGATAGAATTTATTGCTAAATACACAAAAGTTCGTTTGAAAAAAATTAAATTCCAATCTACGGGCGAAACCAAATGTGATAATGTGAATTTCTTACCTAAAGATTTTGTAGTGTTACCATACATAAAAGACTGTGATAAAATTTTTAGAAAAGGTTTTAATAAGTTCAATATAAAAGTAATTTTCAGATCTGTTTGTCAATTTAATTTTTTAAATAATTTAGGAAAAGATAGCGTTGACACCATCGACAAAGTGTGTTCCGTTAATGGTTTCAAGTGTAAAAATTGTGATAAACATTATGTGGGACAAACTAGTAGAACTGTTGATACTCGAACGAAAGAACATGAACGCGATTGTATCAACGAGAAAGATTCGTCTGTAGTGTATACACATATGAGAGATTACGGCCACACTTTCAACTTCGATTCAGTACAAGTACTCGACCAAGAAATTTGTTATTACAGACGTTTAATATCAGAAATTGTAGACATCACTAAGTTAAATACTGTAAATAAGATTACTGACACAAATAATTTAAGTACAGTACTTAAATATTATATCAAACATTGTTTAAAATAATTAAAAATACATTAAACATTGTTTAAAATATTTACAAAATACAAATAGAGTTTTATCGTGTGTTTGAATTCGTGCCGTTTTATACATGTATACAATCTTTCGATATTCATGTGTGTCGTTACTTACATGTATCTAGTCCTACTTTAGATTATATTCAGACAGCTTAAAAGCCAGTCGGTTGAATGAGAGCAGATATAGATATTATTTAATATTAAGTGGGCGTTGCTCTACATAATTTGTAAGTTCAATTATTCTATTTAATTGTTTACACTTGTAGTTTATGGTAGCTGTTGTAATATTTATTTTCATTATAATTATTTTAACTCAGAGACTTGAAAAGGACTGCCTTAAGTGCAGTCAAAACGTTGTCAACTAAATAAAAGACTGAACAGTAAGCCCTTGGAGTTTATTAATTCTTCGGGGCTTATTTTGTTTGTATTTAAATTGCAAATCTTTTTTTCTGAACACTTTCTTATATACGATTCTTCGGATTTCTTCTAAATGTGAAAAACATGTTTTAGTCGTTTTTACCATTTTGTTGAGGGGTCTTGGTGACATTTCTACTTGTTAAATTCTGTGTCAATTTGTTATAATGCATTGAGACTACTACTCTTTTTTTTTGAGCTAGACAGAATTTTCGAAATATTATTACGATTTTTAGCTAACTCTACCATACTAATAATACTAGATTTCACTAGCATGGTATCAGTTTTGATTATACGTCTATAAAATAAGTCGTAGGTATTATAATTACATATAAAATAAGACCAGACACTTTTAAATAAATAAATGATTTCAAAGGTTGTTTTTCATTGGTTTGCTTGCATAGTTTTTGCAAATTAACTAATGTTTATTCAAAAAGCTGTTTCTGAAACTTTCTACAGCTTCAAGACGTTATAGCATATATCGTATCCAGGCTGACTTTTAACTTCAGAAATCGTATTTTTATTGTATTGGTGTTATGATTTCTAAAAAAAATTTAATGGAATGGCACAGAAATTTTTTAGTAGAAAATCCCGACATCGATCTGATTTTTGAAAACAAATTTTTCAAGCTGTTTGGCTTTTAAAAGCCAAAATAATTTTTTTTATTTATGTATGGTAATAAAGAATAGCATGATACACATAAGACTATGAACCGTATAATCTTGATTTGTATACAATATATTATATGCGATATTACTGATTTTTTAAATTTATAATTCAACATATCTTACGTGAACAGAGATGTATTTTATTGATCAATGGTTTAAACCTCCCTAGTTATAATTGTAATACTGAATGACATCGCTACCTGCACAAAACATTTTTTTATTGAATAAAGGAATATTCGTGTGTACAGTATACTTTCATAAACGACTTTATGATTTGAAAACCATTTGTATATAAGAATATGGTAAAATATTTTTTTCATTTAGCTAAGATACCCCAAATCGATGAATTATAGCTTTCTGTGGGATCACAGGAAGCTAAGACAATAACAATTTTGCGAGTGTGCACGACTTCAAGAATTCAAGTTTGGTATTGTTTGTCTTTATTGATACTAAATTACTGATCTCGTTCCACTATCCTAAGAAGTCATGTCGGTTAATTTTGCTAATGCAATAATGTCAGCGTATCCTTATGTGAATTTTTTTTTCATAAAACGGTAAGTGTTGAATTTCAATTTCTGAAGATTTTAATTGATTGTGTTGCAAAACGAAGCGTCAGGAATTTTCATTAAAAACAATCATCTGGAGAATGTACAGAAATATATATATGTATACATTTAAAAAATAAGGTTAGAGTGGAACTTTTCTTATGAAAAAATTCTCGAAGCGTCACCATTTTAATTTTTCCAGATATTTTATTTTGCAATGAAGCACTTTTATTTAACTTGTCTTGTGTGACCCATACAGAAAAAATCAATTTAAAAAAATGAGTAATACTACAGAGCAGAATCTAAAATTTATTTAAATTTGCTGCGTCTATGATCAGAATTATTTATTCAAAACGTTATTAAGAAACCAGTGATTTTTGTAGTTTTTTTGTTATTTACAAAGTAGCAAAATATATTTTACGACACCCAAGTTCATTTCATTTCACAGACTTATAATCATACATACTACGTATGCAAAATATTTTTAGACGTAAGGAATACGTTTTCCTGAAAAATTTATCCGTTGGACTTTAGGTGCATTAATTCAAAATACTGAAAGAAAGATCATTTTACTGCTCAATCTTGCTTTGCACCTTTTTTGAATAAAAATGACTTTTTTTCGATCTATATCGTTTCTTTTAAAAAACCATCCACATCAACTAACACAATCTTATATTTTGTCGAATTTTAAAATCAGCATTTGCAAGTAACAAATTTAAGTGCTACAGCATGATGTGGATTTTTCTCCTTTATTTTATAGATTAGAGGTGCCAAAATTTTTTAGTTGTCAATTTTGAATAATGTCTGATTAATTGAATGAAAAAAAAGTATAAGAATGCATACTATTTTGTGTTTTCACTATATAATATTACAATGGCTAAAAATTACACGAAAAATGAGAAATTTTATATCTTCTCTTATTGATGAGAAATACATTTGTGTCATTAATTTTGTGAGCATTTACTTTACTTTTAAGCATAATTTTTATTGTATTTATTAAAATATTGTGAATTCATCAAATTTATTAACAAAGAAGTGTATCGACTGTAAAATACCGTTTATTCACATGGATAGTAGATTAGAAGTTGTCCATGCACCACTGTGTCTTTAATATCCGGCTTAAAGAAATGAAATGTTAATTGCAAAATGTTGTTTGTTCGTATTTAAGATAATTAGCACTGACTGTGCTTAACAAAACAAAAAGGTCAGTTGACAAGACTTTTCTGCACTTATTTTCCTCTCGGCAGCCACCATCGAATCGTCATTAGAAGGCGCGCACACGCTGACAGTAAGGCTAATGATACAGTTTACATTCGCACATGGTATGTGGTAAGCGACATTTTTTTTATCGAGTGGCTCAGTTACATCTTTTCCAAGCGAATTGCAACTGCTGTTATGGTGGTCAAACATCGAGAGCTCTAAAGTTAAGAATGACAGAACACAAAAGAGACATCGAGAAAAAAAAGAATACATCGGTACTATCACAACATAGCATTGAATTTACGCATAATTTTAATTTTGATAATATTAAAATTTTAGACATAGAACAAAATTACAAAAAGCGCCTTTTTTCCGAAATGTTAAATATACATTACTTTAATAATAATATTAATAGACAACAAGATACAGAAAAATTGAAAGATTGTTATAGGTCTCTCGTTATGTCAATTAAGAAAGGTGACCAACTTTATATACATGATTCGAGGACCCCTTTTATTCATAGTATTAGGAAAACATGAACTGTTTATGTGCGTCTCAAGGAACTGCTTGCGATTCTTATTCGATTGTATTACGTGCGTGTACTATGTCATTTGTGTATGTGCAGGGTATAAAAGCTACTTAGCTTGAAACTTTGACTACATTACGATTTTACACCCCTTTCGTAAGAGTCAGAGGTATGTTATACATGTAACTTAATTTGCGTTTATTATATTTTACTTAAATTTGTATTGCAAAGAATTTTGTTACTCATAGATTTTTGTACCTGATGAGGGCCGGGACGATTCGGTCCAAACGGCCGAAACGTCGTTTTGTTTTTTAACAAATTCAAAATATGACAGTACCACCCTTGGACGTTGTTTTTAATTAATAATAAAAGCCCAAGCCATTTTAATGGACAACTATTCTAATCAAAAAAAATTTAATTGATGGATAAGAACAGCTCGAACAATTAAATATTATCTCCACAAACTCGCCACCATGCAATTTGCTTATGCCAACGTCTTCGTTGGCTTGTAATTTACGAATTTTCTGTTTTCTCACTCTGAAAACTTGTAGAACTAATGTTTTAATGTTAGTCCACAATCATTGGGTTTTCAATCCCAAACATCTTGACTCTCACGACTCGTAAGTACCTCATACACGTAAGGCATAACGTGTTGGCTGAGGCAACTCGAGTGCGTATCAAGAACATAGTAGTATCGGACTACGCTAAGGAGCGAGGTACAGCAAAGGAGGCCCGCCGAAAGTGGTTCTAGCGATAGCAGAGAAAACAGAAATCGCAACTTCCTACTGGCCACGAACTCATTCGTGTAGTTTAAGAAAACACTGAAGGTTACCACACGAAGCATTAAGGAACTCCAAAGCAGCAGTAACAACAATCAGTGATAGATGTAAGTTATTCAGAAGCAGTAAAATTAACGCTGAACCTTGTTAAAGTGACCCGATTAAATTGTATTTAAAAGAACAAATTATTATTAGATTGTTATAATAAAGAAATACATTAATTAAAATGACCCATATTATTTTAGTAAATAATATTATTCAATTAAAGGAACAAATAAAGCTCACGAGCTGAATCCTAAGAGACCCACGAATGACACTTAAATAAAACAGTTAAGACCATACTCTAAACAAGTCTGGTCATAACATTAGCATTGCTCTTTTGATGTCTGCGAATTTTTTTTTTTAAATTGCGGCCAATTTCAGAGGAACGTTCTGAACTTTTGTCTCATTTTTTTCCACTAAAAAAATTTTTTTAGAAAAAACAAGTAGCACTATCGAAAAAAGAAATCAAATTCCAGATTTGTAAGTTTTCATTATTTTTTTAGCTATCACCCAGCTATTACGAAGAAGTTGAACAAAGCATGATCGGGCAAAAAAAACTCTGAGCATGCGTGGTGGCCCAATCTCAGTGGATGAAGTTACACTTCCATTTGCGCATCCTGCACTAAAGTAAGTGAACATTCTCAAAATTATGATCTTTAAAAAATGTGTGACGAAAGGAAAAAAGGAAATATTCTTCTTTCAGTATTGTGCATCAAACTGTATCTCTAGGGATGTATCTGGCT